GTTTATTTCAGCAGAAAGACGCCAGAAAAGACGCACAAGTAGCGCTGAACCCGATGAGAACAACACAGAAATGAGCCTGTAAAATGTCACTTAAACAAACTGTATAAAGTGTGTTTGATGGTTGTGTAAATAAGAGAAATACCTCTAATCAGAGGACGACGACGACTTCTTCTTCTTCTTTTCTTTTTAATGGCGGTTGGCAAACCCACTTAAAAGGCGCATTTCCGCCACCTATTGGACTGGAGTGTGGAGCATGACGTAAATTGGTGAAAATCAAGCGGCAACCTCCCGCTCTCTCTCGTGAAGCCAACAAGGAAGTGACTTAAACTGTAATTCATCGACTGGCCGCTAGAGGCTGGCTGCAAAAGGGAGTCAATCCCATAGACTCCCCATGTTAAAATGCCCAACTTTACAGCAGAAAAAAACAAACATACAGCCTGGTTCAAAAAATTATTTTGGTCTATATAGCTAATTTTGCCCTTCATGACAACTGAGGGGGGTGAATTTTTTTATAAGTCATCCGTTTAAATTATATTAAGCCTTAAAATTCTGCATAATTAAGGGCGTGGCCACTTGAGTGACAGGTGGATTGACCTTGCTGTCTCTATCAGCCGCTGAACTTGGCATCTCTGCCGTGTTTCTGCTTTTGTTTTATTCAGTCTATGGGTTATTTTCGTGATTATTTCTTAAAATTATCAAATAAAATGTCTTGTTGTGCGGTTAATTGTTCTAACGAGTGACGCGCTGTGATGCGCTGCCAAGATGGCGACGGCCCGCTCCGCCCACTTTGGGTTTCAAAAACACTCTTCAGAACACTACGGGTGACGTCACGGACATTACGTCCATGTTTTTATACAGTCTGACAACATATTTATTAAAAAAACAAAACCCTTTAGTTTGATCAAAGGAGTGTTACACAAGAAGGATACAATTATTTTATTTACTTCATTATGTGATCTTCAAATTATATTAATTAAACCTGCTTTCAAATAATTAATAATTGCATTTTAAACTTTATACTGTGCTGGAGCATACTCTAGTATTGTCTTAATTGTTATACCTTCAATATTCAACAAACTTAATTCTTCTATTAATCGCAATCTTTCTGTTTCATATGCTTCACAGTGTAAGTAAATCTTTCATCTCTTTCACCCTTCAAAATAACTACTGTTGGTTTTAAATATCTCGGCATATTCATCACACCAATATTTAATGATTTATTTAAAAAAAATTATGCCCCTCTTCTTGATGCCATTAAAAAAGACCTTAACACTTGGCGGACACTCCCTATTTCTTTTTTGGGTAGAATTAATGTGATTAGAATGAATATTCTACCTAAATTTTTATATTTATTTAAATCCCTACCTTGTTATTTACCCAATACTTTCTTTAAAGACATCAATAAGCACTTTTCTAAATTCATTTGGAACCATAAAATGCCCCGAATTAATTTGAACAAATTAATGAAACCGAAAGACAAGGGAGGAGTCGCTTTACCAAATTTTCGTCTTTACTATTGGTCAGCACAGGTGAAGCATATGGTCAGTTGGTACAATGAAAGGACTGATTCTAGATGGTTCAACATGGAAGCAATGGCTTGCGCTCCTCTCCCAATAAAATTTCTGCCTTTTATTACAAATATTAAAAAGCTCGAATGTGTTTCAACAAACTTCATTATTTCAAACAGTCTTTTGACATGGAGAGACATTAAAATATATCTTAAAATTCCAGCTTATTTCACACTGTTTTCACCTATTGCTTTTAATCCTGATTTCCCTGTCTCTCTGCAAAATATTGACCTTTCAGTTTGGTCTAAATTAGGGATCCTTAAGTTATCTCTCCTCTTTTCAGGCAATTCATTAAAATCTTTCCAAGAAATATCACGCCAATATAGTATACCACAGTCCAATTTTTTAAAATACCTTCAACTGCGTCATTTCATAAAACCTCTGTCTGATAATGGTAAATTGAGATTTGAACTTACTGCCATAGAACAAATTGTAATAAACAATTTATCTAAGGGGTTAATATCTAAAATATATAATGCTCTGGTTAATTCATGTACTTCCTCTTTAGAAAGTTTGAAGAGCGTGTGGGAAAAAGATTTAGGTCACGGAATTGATAATACGGATTGGTCCGTCATATGTAACAATTTGTTCTCTAAATGTACTTCATTGGGGATTCACGAACTCAATTATAAATTCATTAACAGAGTTTACCTTACACCTTTGCGTTTAAAAAAGATTTACAGAAACTCCTCTGATCTTTGTTTTAATTGCAAAAAACGCAAAGGAACATTACTTCACTGCTTCTGGTATTGTGACAGAATCTTTTCTTTTTGGACTAAAGTACATAATTTTTTACAAAGTCTTTTTAAGTTGAAATTTTGTTTTTCTCTGGAATTGTATTTGTTATACAGTGGAGTGGAGACTGTGTTTGACTTACACACCAAACAACTGTTTCTAAATTTGGTTTATCTGGCAAAGAAATGTATATTGTTACTGTGGTCATCTCCTCAAGTACCCTCTTTTAAAATGTGGTTGTCTCAAATATCTATGTTACTTCCACTTGAGAAACTCACCTTTGATATACATCAAAAGTCTAATGATTTTTGGCAGATATGGACACCTCTCTGGTGCTACATTAACAACCTCTCTTGATCTTCTATTCTATGGTGCATATTTAGCCTCTAGCCTGACTGTATTAACTTTTCTACCTGATTGTATGCTCTCTAGCCCGACTGTATTCACTTTTCTACCTGATTGTATGCTTCTTATTGTTTTCCATTGTATAGCTGAGACTGTATCTGTATGTTTATGTGCATTAGAATAACCGACTAATAAAAATGTGCTAATGAGCACATGTCACAAGGATGCCAAAATCAGTGACAGGGAGGACAAGAAGTCAGAGGTCATCTTGGACTACAATCGCTGCAAAGGCGGAGTTGACAACCTTGACAAGGTATTTACAAATTTTATGATTTGATGCATTATTTTGCTAATTTTTAAAGTTGGTGATAGAGTGAGTGGTATTTATTTTGTCAGCAGATATACTAATTTGCGTGTGTGTGTGTGTGTGTGTTTGAAATATTGCAGATGGTTGCAACCTACAGCTGCAAGCGCAAGACAAATCGTTGGCCAATGGTTGTCTTCTCTACAATCCTTGATGTTTCGGCCATAAATGCCTTTGTGGTGTGGAGAGAAGTCAATCCATCATGGGAGAGAGGGAAGAGTATGAAAAGGAGGCTCTTTCTAGAGCAGCTGGGGAAAGCTCTGGTGTCCCCTCACATGGAGCGACGGCAACACCAGCCTAATGCACCAGCTTCTGCAACAATCCTAAAGAGACAACAGGATTCTTCCGACGCTCCAGGGCCCTCCACTGAACCTCCATCATCAAAGAGAAAAAGGTGTCAGGTTTGTCCACGGGTCAAGGATTCGAAAACTGACAAGCAGTGCGCAAACGGCAAAAGAGCCATTTGTGCTGCTCACACAGTGATCCTGTGCCAGATTTGCGTGGACTGATTATTGTTGTGGACTGGTTATGGAGTGATTCCCATGTGTTTTACATTTAAATTTTTTTTTTGTAGCTTGTTATTACTTTTATATTCATTGTTCAGAATATGATTGTAAAAAAATTTTTTATTTGATGTTCACTCTTCACTCCTGTTCATTTCTGCATATTGCTGTTGGTTTTATTTACATTTTTAATTTCCTCCACATTCTAAAGTTTTTTTTTTTTACACTTGGTTCATTAAAATCAATAATATGCAACTACAATCTGACTCTAAGTCTTGTCCTTTAGGTGTGTGTTATGTGGCATTTTTCTGTCAAATTTCTGTGGCATTGTTTGAAAACAGACATTTCAAAATGTATCAAAAACCACAAAAAATTATACCATTTGAAAGAATATTTATTTTTAATGTCTTTTCTAATGTTTATATATACATAAATTCACAAAATGTATCACAAAAGTTGTGATAGAAGCAGTTGGCCACATCCAGTAAAATGAATGGCTCTCTATGGCCCTCTTCTGGTCAAAACAATTTCTTTCCTAAACTGTAATCCTTTTAGGTTTATTTCTTTCTAGCAGATGGCAGAATTCTACACCTAACACCTAGATCAATATCCAGAAGCAACTTAAATTAAATTTAGGTCATCCTTTAAGTGATTTTTTCATAAAAAAGTAATATTTCACATGCAAGCTAATGGTGTAGTTGAGGAATTTTGTGGTAAATAGGTACAAAAAGATGAATGACTGAAACACTTCCCACATGCAGTGCAGTGATACGGTTTCTCTCCAGTGTGGATCCTCTCATGTGTTTTCAGATGTCCTGACCGACTGAATCTCTTGTCACAGTGTGAACACTTGTAAGGTTTCTCTCCAGTATGGATAATCTCATGCTGTTTTAAACTGTTTGCTGTTGTAAAAGTCTTTTCACACTCAAAGCACATGTACTCTCTCACACCAGTATGTATTTTCTGATGTTCTTTCAAACTTTGTAGATGTGAAAAGCTCTTTCCACACAAATAACATGAATGTGGCTTCTCCTTTGTATGAACTCTCAGGTGTGTTCTCTGGTTTGAAGCTCTCAAAAATGTTTTGCTGCACTGATCACATGTGTACAGTTTCTCTCCAGTGTGGATCATCTCGTGTGTTTTCAGATGTGATGACTGACTGAATCTCTTGTCACAGTGTGAACACTTAT